AAATTTCCTCGACTTGCCATCATCACAGGAACTTCCCCTCGAGGTCCCGATTCGCGACCGGGAGGATGCTCACGGGTCCTCCCACCCCGCTAGCCGGGGGACAGGCCGTCTCCCCTGTTCCCCAAAACTCATCACACCTCACTTGAACGTTCGAGCAGAAAACAAATTGTCCACAAATCAGCAAAGCAGACCAGAGCACTTGGTAGTTCACTGACGAGGGAAACTGCATGAAAAGGACACAGCTTCAGGAATCGTGCCTCGAATCACCCCTTATCTCTCTACAAAGGTATTTTTATGGCCTGCCTCCAATTGTTTGATCACTGAGAATTCAATACACACACCGATCAGCTATCATTCACCAAGGTTCTCTCATTCGACGACAACAACGACTGTCTGGATGGATTTGTGAGATTTGGCGGCTATTCTCACATAGCTTAAGCCGAGGTTTCAGTGGAAGTGGATAGGAGGGGATCCATCTTAGGATTTCTCTCATTGTCTGTATGTGCCACAACATCAAGGGATACGCTAACAGTAGCAGAAGATGGAGAAATCAAATGAAAAATTTGCTTGATTCCTTTCGGCACAACCATGTCACTATTTTCGAATTTGGGAGAGATTTTAGAGAGACAAATGTGTAGATATTAATTTGCATAATTCAAACAAGAGTTGGATGCAAAAGATGATAGATTTATTTCTTACCCTCATCCGGTCCAATCTATCCATCAAAGCTCAAAGGGCTGGGGTGGGCGTTCGACAGTTTTTGAGTGATTCCGTGATATCGTATCTAACGGTGCCAGGCTGAAAGTTGAAAAAGACTTGAGCGTTCAAACACAAGGACTTGATTGGGAATAATCAAGTGACATCTAATGGTGACCACACTCACCCTGAAATTGGTGGCCTCACAACACTTCCAAGGTTTAGAGTCATTCTTATTTGCGGAGCAGGTGAAAGAGTCCTGAAAGCGAGCGTACATTCCGACTGGCAAATTGCCAGATGTAAATCAAGAAAATTCATATTTAGTTCTTCAGTCAAATGTCTCCATATATTGTTGTATGGAGAAAGTAGGAGGAGAGAGAAAAAAAGTTGAACCAACCAAGTAAATCCGGAGTAGAACTAGTAGCCTGAAGCCGGCAAACCGGTTGAGGAAAGTTCTCGTTTAGGCATTTGACAAACGTGGTAGCTTCAAGCCTCACAACCATCATGGCAAAAAGAAAAACTAATGGGATGAAGGAGTGCATGATGAGAAACTGGCGAGCGACTGTGTAGGGGTTTATTAAGAGACTGGGAAACTCTCTCTGTGGGGTGGGTGTTGATTTGTCTAGCGCAAAATCCTCTTTGTTTCTATGTGCGAGGGTCAACTCGAAGCCTTGAAAACGCCCAGAATCCTTTAGAAACACCACGAAAATATGCACATCTACCATAAGAAGATAGAAGAAGTCAAATATTGAACAGTTGTATATATTTACAGCTAACACATCCAATCCATCTACACTGATTCCGTCTCTGTACGGGTTCCGGGTGTGGCCAGGACAATTGGGGTCCTAATGGCACCACCCGTAGCCCTACCTGGTCCCCTAAATAGCTTAGGGTTTTCAGGAGGGGCGCGTGAGGGTCTTGGGAGAGGTCGTCCCCTCTACTCATGTGCCCCCGGTGAGGGGGGGCCTAAATGGTGGAGGAGGATCTCTTCCTGAAACAGAGAGGAGAAGTGTGGGGGATCGCGCTAGACCCTTGGGTGGGAGGGAGCAACTGAAAAAAGAAGGGCGCGCGTGGTGACGGGGTAGCTGGAGAGGTGTGAGGGAAAGAGCATCCACTGATGCGGGGCTGAGAAGGTCAGTGGAGGGAAGAAGATGAACTCGTCTTCCTGGGGCGATTGGCGCCTGAGCGCTGCTAGGTCTGCTCTGACCCCTCAGCCTGGGACAAAGCTCCAGGCGCTCGTGTTCTTGGACCTTGGACACATCCGCTAAGTGCTCCTGTCTCCCCCAATCCAATCCATCTACACTGATTCCGTCTCTGTACGGGTTCCGGGTGTGGCCAGGACAATTGGGGTCCTAATGGCACCACCCGTAGCCCTACCTGGTCCCCTAAATAGCTTAGGGTTTTCAGGAGGGGCGCGTGAGGGTCTTGGGAGAGGTCGTCCCCTCTACTCATGTGCCCCCGGTGAGGGGGGGCCTAAATGGTGGAGGAGGATCTCTTCCTGAAACAGAGAGGAGAAGTGTGGGGGATCGCGCTAGACCCCAGAACTCAGGTTAGAAGCCTGAGCCTCAGCGCGAAACCCCACACTTCGTCCTGGGTTCTGCCCTCAAGCGAAATTTTGGAGTGAAATTAGATCATGACAACCTCCATTGCAAATCTAGTCTTGATAACAGCTGCAAGGACTCAGTTAAATCTTCCTCTGAGTATAGCCTAATGTACAACTTGTAGCTGGCCGAGGCCCAGCGCCCCGCCCTGCAAATTTGAGCCGAGGGAATACCCAGAGCGTTCTGGAAAGACGCTCCTCCTACTCTGAATGAGTGGCCTGAAAGGCCGTGGAAACTATGCGCGGTCCAAATCTCCGTGAGTCGCTTCTTGACAAAATATTTCGATAAAGTTACGTGACAGCCGTCTTTCCGATAGCTGAAAACATGATCATTCCTTCCACAGGTTGCCAGACGGCGAGTCAGGGCTCGCACCGGGCAGAGTATGTTTAGCATCCCTTTCAATTGGAGGAACTGAGATTCGCCCGGCAGGGCTGTCTTGGATTCCTTGAGCTCCACTGTCGCGGAGGAACCCGTCGGATGTATGGAGACGTAGCTCGGGAGAATTTTACGTTGTGGACTTGTCTGGTCCGTTGTCAACTCGCCTAGCCGGGCTAGGCCCCAAAAAGCTACCAACGCCAGGTCGAGGATTGCGGCATCCTCTAAATCGCCTGACGATAGATCGTTCGCTAGACAAACCATGTGTCTAATTAGCACTGGATTCTTTGGCTCTTTCCTCGGCGTTGACGCCTCTACCTTTAACGATGACTTGAGCAATAGGGCCGCTTTCTTCTCAGAGATTATCGGGTAAGGCGAGTCGTGGAAAATATGCCAGGCTTTTAAACCCTGCAGGTATTTTTTCAGTGTTACCGCAAGTACCCCGCTTTCGCCACCGTCTATGTCTTTCTTCCCTGCCCAGTAGCAGAAGTTATAGATGTCTTCCTCGGTGGCTGGTAAGAGAAAAATTGGATGGCCTTGGGACCTTTTAAACGCCAGGAATTTCCGAACAGCGGAGTTGTAGCTTTTAAGGGTCGACCTCGACCAGCCGTTCAAAACATGCTGATCAAGCTTAGTTGGGTTCTTCAAAATATGGCCCCGAGATGTGAAGTCTTTTATGGAGGAGAAAAATGCTTCATTTGAGGAGGAATTCATGATAGTGGAAGTAATGAGATTTGGTGAAGTTAAAAATAGGACTGGCTACGCGGTTACAAGAGAACAAAAAACCGAGAGGTGATTGGGAGATAACTCAAAAAACCATGGAACAACGACGGGAACATCATATATTTAAATTTTGAAAATGACCTGGGACAACAGGTCTTGAAGGTCAGGGGGCACCTGTATACACACCTGGTACTTTACAGACTGGCCTGACCGTATCCCTCGCGACAGGGCGTCTGCCTTGTTATCTTTTGATGCGACCCTTCTTGCTATTAAGTTTACCGATTCACGTAAAAGGATGGCCTGTATTTTCTTCCATTCGTCATTTGCTTCCCTGTCTTTTGTTTTCATGTTGTTGATGCTGTTTTCGGTAGTCGTGTTGTCCGTCCAAACTATGAGTGATTTACCACGTTGATCGCGAAGCTTCAATAGCATGATTAGACCGAGTCTTATTGCCACTGTTTCTAGCAGGGAGATTCGTTTCTTATTAGACAGTGGGTCTATGAGCTTGAATTGAGCCCAATGCCTTCCCACTAGTATTCCGATACCAAAAGAGGTGGAGGCGTCCCCAACCCAACCGACGTCTAAAGGTGGTCCCCATCTAATTAGACGTGTGTGTTCAAAATTGTTCAAGGTTTCTACCCAAATTTGAAGGTCTTCGAGGACGTCCACCGGAGTCGCCCTTTTTGCTTTCCGCCAGAACCAAGATTTTAGCCAGCGATATAAGGAACATAAGTTACATCTTAAGTGTGGTAAGATGTATGTCACGTGGTTAAGACGTCCTACGAGAATTTCGACTTCTTCGTAATCGAAAGTAGCTTTTGCGACTTGGAAGGGGTATATCTGATTCAGTCTTTTCTCGATTTTACCCTCTGGCAGTCTCACTGTCTTAGATACACCATTCCATACAAAGCCTATGAATTTTTGTTCTGGCGAGAAATCTGAGAACTTCTTGACGTTTGTCATCACTCCAAGCTCGGTTGATTTTAATACTACGTCTTTCATCGATAAATCAGCGCCAACTTCTTTAATAAAGAGATTGTCGTCTACCCATCGGAAAATGGTGATCAAGTTGAAGTGACTTTTCATTATGAGTTTCCACGCGTCGGCTGGACGACCAAAAGATCCGCAACCTGCAACGCCCCCAAAGGTGATTCGTGTATCTATCAATAGGTTGCCGTCGAAATCTTGCACCAGAAGGTACTTCCATTGGTCTTGTTTCGTCGGTATTTGTCGGTACGCCCCTTCCCAGTCAAAAAGTGCCAGTTCGAATGACCTTTTGTCTTCTGCGAAGAATTTTGACACCGTCTTGAAATCATCCCACGTTGTTTCGAAATCAAGTTTATTAACGTAAGAGTTCACTGATTTTACTTCTATATCATTTTTGGGATAGGATAGGTCGTTAATAGGTCTGATCTTCCCATCACCGTTAACTACGGCACCCAAAGGATTTGACCTAAAGAAACCAAATGTGGCTTCCATTTGCTGATGGGAAAATGGCCCTATCATTCTTCCGGCCGCTAACTCTTTCGCAATCGACTCCTGAATCTTATCTTTTGCGAGGAGGGAAGATTTATGGTTCTCAGGCGTGAACCACCGTTTTCCTTCAATTCTATGCTGCGGTATACCTTGGTCAAAACCATGTGTGAAACCGTCTATGACGTCCTGATATTCTGGCAAGAGGTGGTTCAAGTGCAGAGCTTCACGCCATTTCTGCACATTCATCTCGCACACTATCTCACTTGATAAATATATCTTCTTGATTTCTAATTGATGACACCTTCAAATGTCGAATTGTAAAGAATAATGAGAACAACACAAAAGTGTGAGAAAAAACAATCTAGTCAGGAACAACAATGTTGAAGTCCGGAAATTGCCTTCATCCATGCAATTATAATCTTATTTCAGGGGCTTGGGAGTGATGATCTTGTGATATGGGTCGTTACTACGCGAAGAAAAAGGATTATGCCTACATATCTTTCCCCTCCTTGGATTCTTTCTTCCCCGATTGAACACGAGAACTTGACCCTCCTCCCCGTTGCTCTCTACCTCTGAAATTGTTGGGTTGACGTTCATCAGTTTGGTTGTTGTTGTTGGGGTTATATCGGTTGTTTCCGTAGCTGCTCCTTTGCCCCCATGATCTGTTATCATCTTCTCGGAAATGCCTCGCTTCTCGTCTGTTGTTGAAGTATTGGTCGCTTTGATCGTTGGGCCGAGGTTTCTCCCTCTGTAGCCACCTCGGTTTCTTGAAGTATTGCCCCTGAATCCGGTTTTTTCAGACGGGCCGGCTGGTACGTGGTTGATAATGTCGGAGGCTGACTTATGACCTTTTGCAAGTTTCGGTCTTCCGGTTTTTGGGTCGAAACCAAATTTAATGCCCCCATAGGCATAAGGGTTATCCGAGAAGTCAAGTTCGTCTAGCTTCCTCGTGATTGCCCAGGCCTTTTCTCGTACTTCTTTCCTCATTACTGATATGTCTACGACCGACGCTCCCTTTTCTGTCTCGACCCGATAAGCAAAAGCGTTCGCCCTGACAATCATGTCGTATCTGAAGCCTGTTAGGAAACCATCTGCCGCAATGATTTCGTCCACATTTGCTTTGTGTTCGACGATCCAATCTGCAAACTCTGGGATTTTGTAGATGTCTCTGTAGGTGATGAGGAAACTTCTGAAGTTGTTGGTCCATGCGCTGAACGATTGCGTCCATTCGTTCGGATATTCATAGCCTGTATAGATACCATCCTTCTCGTCGGTTTTCGACCTCTTGCCAGAGTGGAAAGAGACTGCTTCTTCTTGCCATTCTTTGTCGAAGATGGTGAGAGGTAAAGGGCCTCTAAATTCGCGGATGTTCTTATCGAAGAACGGAGTGAAACCTATGTCGCAATGGTTAGGGACCGATCCTCTGAAAAAATTAATATTTTTATCTGGGTGCTTTTGCGTCGGTAATGCAGCTGTGGCAGAGTTTGAGCGATGTATCCCTGTCGGTGCGATGAGTACGTCCAAAGGTGTGTTTGATGGTCCATCTTTGGGTAGCGCTAGGTAGATCCTGAGTAGAAACTCCGCGTTCGGCTCATCGTTCGCGGACTTTGCATCGCAGATCCGATTCCACAGGATCTCCTTGTCTGATAACGCCGCCTTGGGCTTCTCCTGGTTAGGTAGTGCTTGATTTACTACCAGCAACGGTCCTGGGTCATCCGTTGTCGAGAGGAGATTGCGGTAGGCAGATAAGGTGTCAGGCATTTGTCTGCTGTTCTTAGTGAGCTGTCCTTCGATGTCATCGTCTTCGCGATCGATCTCCTTTGATGCATCTTTCCTCTGGACTTCTCTCCCTTCGACTTGGGAGAGGTCTATGACAGCTGGTGCATCATCTATTGAGAATGGGAGAGTGTGTGTCAGTTAACCGCGACTTGGTTACTGTTGGTGTTTATTTTTCAAAGAGTCACTAACTACTTAAGTGCTTGCTTTCGGTCGATGGTCCGGTTCCGCTTGGATCTTCAATTGTGTCTGTTAAGGTTGATTGAGTCGTTGCTGGTTGAGCGTCCCCCTCTCTCATAAACTGCTTCTTCGTCTTTCTTGTTGCTTGCGTCGCCGTGTCTTCCGTCATATTCAGCTGTTGCTTGGATTGTGGAGATAGTGATTTGTGTCGATTTGTTGGAAGGGATAATGATAACTGAAAAAAGAAGGGCGCGCGTGGTGACGGGGTAGCTGGAGAGGTGTGAGGGAAAGAGCATCCACTGATGCGGGGCTGAGACGGTCAGAGGAGGGAAGAAGATGAACTCGTCTTCCTGGGGCGATTGGGGCCTGAGCGCTGCTAGGTCTGCTCTGACCCCTCAGCCTGGGACAAAGCTCCAGGCGCTCGTGTTCTTGGACCTTGGACACATCCGCTAAGTGCTCCTGTCTCCCCCAAGGAAAGCTTGCGGTTGCGCGAGCTTGAAAATTACGACCAACCATTTTTCCTACCTCACGCAACTGCCTGTATATCTTCCTTTTCTTCCATTCCTTCTGCATACTTCCCAACAATTCCCTCTCTACTCCTCACCAGCCATGGCCCCCGATCCCGGCCCCCTCCCCTCCAGCCCCAACCACAACCAGCTGTTGGTCAAAAATTCATATCATTGATTCTGCCAAGCCATCCTATTCCAACATTCCCAATTATCAAGCACTTTCCAACCCGTCAGGATCAAAACCGTAAGTTAGGGTCTTCCATGGTTACTGGACATGTTTTTGGCAATCAGACTGACCCTGAAATCAGCGGTGGGCCGCTACGCTACGCTACGCTTTTGGCCCAAAAAGCGTAGCGTAGCGGCGCTTTTTTTTCATCAAAAAACCGTAGTGTTAGCGGTTTTTCGCTACGCTACGCTGCGCTACAGCGCTTTTAGCGGAAAAACCGGCAAAAAACCGCTAAAAACCGCTGTAGCGCAGCGTAGTGGGCCCTTTTTTGTGGCCCACACGCGTAGCGTTAGCGGTGTCGTGGCGGAATTCCGCTACGCTACGCTAATTGCTAACAGCGATTCCGCTGCGTTACGCTACACTAACCGCTACGGTTAGTGTAGCGGCCCACCGTTGCTGAAATGGAAATCAAAGGTCATTTCCATGGCTGGTTCCTCCAATCCCAGTGGCGGAGTCCCCCCCTTCCGTTTGAAAATGCCCCCAACGGCTCACAGGAGTTGTGGTTAGGCCCTTCCCAAGCCGCCAACTGCAACACCAAGTCCTTCTGCGTATTCCATGACAAAAGGTGCACCAAAAGCCAATTCTGGAATGCTTACAATTCGACGGATGGCCGGGTGACAGGATTGGTGTCGGTGCCAACGAAGCCTCAACTACGGCCCATATTTTTGGACTACCAGGTTTACAACCAATCCATGGCCAGCCAGCTAGGCCAAAGCTCTGGGGCTAGGGTTGGCGGCGCCACCGTTGAGCTGGGGGCGCCAAGGCGCGCCTTTTGCAAGCCCTCCAGGGCGCGCCCACTGGTGGGGGCGCCAGGGCGCCGCTGTTTGGTTTTTTGGGACTAAATATGGCGGAAATAAGGATCTTTCCTGTTTTTTGGTTTTTTTTTTCTTAAATTCCTTGTCAATAAGGCACAAAAAACATTATCAGTCCCAATCATTGGGGAGCCAAACATCCATATGGTCTCAGCCACCATCAATATCTTCAGTTGGCTGGGCTACTTACTCAGGGTTTTGGTCCCTGGGCCCTAGGCCCATAGTACTACTGGGAGGGCGCGCCTGGGGGGGTTTTTGGGCATTTAGGCGCGCCCCCCCGTCGCACCCCGTCGCCTCGGGGTGCGACAGCGCCCAGGGCGCGCCCCGTGACTGGCGCCGCCAACCCTATCTGGGGCAAAAGAATGGCGTAGCGTGACCCCTCCGCCAAAGTCCAAGACCATTTGGAAGGTCGATCTGTCTTACTATTTGTGGGACCTTTGTAAGCAGGAGATCTTTAACTTGGACTTGTGATCATATCAATAAACACCTCTGAAGGCTCGAGGCAGAGGGGTTGCTCAAATGGCAATGCATCCTCCATAGGGACGGCATGTTTGCGCAGAACAAAAACTATTTTGCAACGAATGACAAGGATTTTGCGCCGTTTGTCCAGGCGGTCGTCAATAATTTAACAAGCAAGGCAATGATTAAGATCATTATGGACAATCCAAATAGGTCCTCCAAGGACTCTGAAGAGGTATGTGGGGTGACTCTGTGTGTTGTTTGATGGTCTCTTGGCTGACTCAATTGCCCTCCGATGCCCTCAGGCTAAAAAGGTCAACGACAGTCTGGCGTTAAATTATGCAGACAAGGACACACACCTGGCGTACCGAGGCAGATTCCTTGGTCATGTAGGGCTGAAAAAACCCATGACCAAGGTGGCTTACTCAGTCATGGAGGATTGAACACCTCCATGGCTGAGGTTAGAGATGGTCACTTTGCATCCGGATATCCGGTTGCTTTTTCCAGGGAAAGCGGCATCCGCATCCGCTGGCGGATATCCCCCCGCCTTAGCGGGTATCCGAGCGGATATCCTTGGATACCCTCCCTCTAAATGGCCGGCAAGGCACATCCTTGCCGGCTGGAAAGGCTGCCTTCCAGCCGGCTAGGCATGTACCTCGCCGACTGGAAGGGTTTCCTTCCAGTCGTCGAGGTACATGTACCTTGCCAGCTGGAAATTTTCCCTTCCAGTCGGCGGGGCATGTACCTTGCCGGCTGGAAAGGTTTCCTTCCAGCCGGCGAGGTATGTGTACCACCTCGTCGACTGGAAGGAAACACTTCCACCCGGCCATTGGTCTCGGGTATCCCAGGGGATACCCGGATATCCTCCGGGATTTGGGGGGGGGGGGAGAGAAAGGACATCCGCACCCAAATCCGCATCCTCTGGCGGGTATCCGCTGGCACTGGCAGGTATCCGCCAGCGGATAGCGGATATCCGCAACGGATTATCCCCGCCCATCTCTAGCTGAGGTGTGTTAATTGGTCATGGAGGGGTGGAAACCTCCATGACTGAGGTGTTTTACTCAATCATGGAGGGGTTGAAACCTCCATGACCAAGGCAGATTCCTCGGTCATCTAGGGTTTAAAACCCCCATGACCAAGTAAAACACCTCCTCCATGACCAAGGTGGTTTACTTGGTCATGGAGGAGTGGAAATCTTGAAACCTGGTGTGGTAAACCTAAAGGGTAGCCATCTGGCCCATTTAAAATTTTTACAAGTTTTTTTCTTTTATTACATATTACATAGTTCTTAAACCTTTTTTCTCATACATACACTCACAAATCACACAATATGTCTCAAGAACTGGATCCTATGGTCAATTTCGCCCTTGGTCACCACTGGAGTTGTCACTGGAACTCAACTGGATTGGAAGCTACACGCTCTGGAAGAGATGGCCCTGGCGCATCCGGATATCCGGCTGCTTTTTTTGGGGAAAAAGCCATCCAAACCCAAATCCGCAGCCGCTGACGGGTGTCGCCCCGCCTTAGCCAAGGATACCCGCCCTTTAAAGGGCCGGCGAGGCACCGGCTGGAAGGAAGCCCTTCCAGTCGGCAAGGCATATGCCTTGTGCCTGGAAGGGCCTTCCAGCCAGCAAGCGCGTACCTCGCCGAGTGAAAGGAAACCCTTCCAGCCGGCGAGGTACAGCCCTTGACAGAAAAAATGAAACCCCTTACTTGGAGTCTAGAGGGCAAACCAATGGACTTCAAGTTATGCTTCCTGGTGAAAAGTGGAAAATAAGTTCTAAAGAATGATTCTGAAAAATTGGATAGGAAATTATTTTGTAAAAATTTTGTGTATTTTTCCCCATTTTCTGATTTTTTTGGTATTTTTCAGTCATTTTTCAAAGTAGCTCAGAAAATCATGATCAACACAATTGCATGTGAAAAGAATGATTATAAATGAAAATTTGAAAAAAAAATGATCAACAGGGGTCGTTGGACAGGAGTCGTCTTTCTAATTCCCCCTGGGGGATTGGGAGTCAACCTCCCAATTCAATTTTATTTTATTTTTATTTTTTTATTTTTTTGGGTGGGAGTTGGCGCCCAAAACCCTCCTTGGCAAGTGGGAGGTTTGGGAGTCGCTTTCCTCCCACTGGCCGGGGGGGATTCCCTCCGGTCATTGAGACTGTACAGTCTCAATGACCGGAAGGAATCCCTTCCGGCCATCAAGAACCGGAAGGAATCCCTTCCAGTCATCAATGGTCTTGATGACTGGAAGGGATTCCTTCCGGTCATCGAAATTTGAATTGTCTCGATGACTGGAAGGGATTCCTTCTGGTCATCAAAATTGCAATGGTGTTGATGACCGGAAGGGGTCCTTCCAGTCATTGAATGGTCTTGATGACCGGAAGGGATTCCTTCCGGTCATCGAATGGTCTTGATGACTGGAAGGGATTCCTTCCGGTCATTGAATGGTCTTGATGACTGGAAGGGATTCCTTCCGGTCATCGAATGGTCTTGAAGGACGAGGAGGGAGTCCTTCCCGGCCATTGGAACGGCTCTCATCCAAGTCTGAACATCCTTGATGGCCCGGAAAAAAACACTTTCGTGGCACTCAAGACACCCCTCCCCTCA